TTCTTGCAAGTCATTCTTAATTGCTGCCGAATCTTGGCACAACGCCGTTGTCTCAACCTTCCTTCCATCCACCGCTAGTTCCACCGCTTCTATCTGACCCTCCATTACATTCAATCTTTCGTCGATTCTGCTCTCCATTTTTCCCCCAATTTGGATCCGGTAGGTCGGACCAATTTGTTAGGTACCTGGGTTTGGAATCTAACAAGAACACACTCAAAAGATAGAAAGAACAATGAAAGAATGGGTTTATGTATTGATATTGAGAACAAAGTACACTGATAGCGCTAATGGAGGCCTAATCCCCCTCTTAGCCCTATCGGAGGCATAATCCCCCTCTTCTGGCCAAAGTCCAAATTTACAAAATAATACTCAAAAACTGCCCTCTAACTCTGAAATAGAACTCTATTTATACAAGACCTCCATCCCGCCTTTCCTAACTGCTCTCACCTCCATCTCGCCTTTCCTCACTACTCTCTCGTTTCTTCTTCCTTCTCTCCTCTTACCTTAGGTCCTATCAGCCTCAAATGCCTAATGTGCCTCTACAGACCACAAAAAACCCTCCTTAGTCAGCAACTATGTAAGAGGTTTGGCAATCTTACCATACTCCTGTACAAATCTTCTATAATACCCGGTTAATCCCAAGAATCCCCTCCAAGCCTTTGCATCTTCGGAAACCAGCCAATTCCACATAACTTCAATCTTTTTTGGGTCTGCAGCCACCCCATCCTTCGAGATTATATGACCCAGATACTCCAAACGTGGCTGCCCGAAATTACACTTCTTCTGGTTAAGTTTCAATTTATTCTGTTTGCTCATGTAAAACTTGCTTCAAATGTTCCACATGTGAAGCCATAGTGGGATTGTACAACAATATGACATCACAGTAGCCAAGCACCGGCTTCCTTAAAATTGGATTGAGGATATCATTCATTAATGACTGAAAAATGGCTGGAGCATTAGTCAACCCAAATGGCATGACTAAAAACTCATATTGGCCATCATGGGTTCTAAAAGTCTTCTCAACATCACTTTCTCATGAAAATCTGATGATATCCCGACTTTAAATCCAGCTTGGAAAACATAGTTTCCCCGATAACTCATCCAATAGTTCTATTAGAAGAATAGGAAACTTGTTGGGAGCGGTTATCTTATTGAGAGCCCGATAGTCCACAAAAAACCGCCTTCTTTTTTATTGACAGGGCTTGATATTAGGAATAACAACCCCTTCGTGAAGCTGGATTTCATGATCATTATTGCGGCTGGGAGGTAGTCCCACTAATCCTGAAAAACGTCAACATTTATCTTCAAAGCCTCCAAAATTGCTACAGGCACATGACTACAATCTGTCTTTCTCTGGACCCCATTTTATAAAACAAACATGATCCTTCTCGTTTCAATTCATGCAATACCCCTTTCAGAGAAGACTCTGATTTAGATAGAGTGGGATCACCTACTAAAATTTGCTCCTTGCATCCTTACCAATGATCAACCTTAACTTTCCAAAATCAGCCCTGACTTCCCCAAGGCTTGCTAACCAGTCCAGCCCCAGAACAATATCAGCACCACCACAGTGAAAACAAAAATTTCTTGTTGAATTTTCAGCCCCTGTAAATCCAAAATGAACCCTTGACACTTACCTCGCTGTACCTTGTGCCCATCCCCCACCTGAACTACATATGGACAAGTCGCCTCCTGTTTCAGCCCACATTTAGTTATCAAATCTTGTGAAATGAAATTATGAGAAGCACCACAATCTAGCAAAACCACCACATCCTCCTTTCCAATTGATCCCCAAAGTTTCCAAGACTTCTTAATAGTAAGGCCAGCCATGGTACGCATAGATAATTGTAAGACCTGTCCTCCTTCTTCCTTTTCTTGTTCGTGATTGGAATTGTTGTCTTGTAAATCCTCAATTCCTGAAAATTCCTCTTCAGACTTAAGCAACGTATGCATTTGTTTATTTTTGCACATATGATTGGGTCCAAATTTGTCATCGCAATGAAAACATAACCCTTTTCTGATTTTATCTTGCAATTTTTCTTGTGTCAATTTTCGAAAAGGAGCTCCCCTTGGCCTCTACATTCCCGAACACTGTTTCCCATACTCAAAATTTCACTTCTCCCCCATCTTCCTTTATTGGAGCCATCCACAACTATTGAATTTCCATCTTCCTTTGAATAACTTCAGGTTACCGAAAAAGGTTTGCAAGTGTTGGTGGTTCGGTTAACACCTTGAGGTGTTGCTTTTGATGTTACCCTAATAATTTCTTCTACCATTTGGGCCTTCGTCATTAACTCAGCAAGATTGTCATGTTCATACAACTTTACCTCTAGCTTTATATCTTTTTTCAACCCATTCAAGAAGATACCTACCAAACAATCTTGGTTAATTCCCTTTAAGAATTTCTCAATATCTCCACATATCCTGTTTGTCTTAACCCAATCAGAATTTCAAAAGGGTTTTTTAACTTGGTTGGTTGAATTATGCGAACAACCGCCACCTTGAATGCATCCCACGTTGGATTGGGATTGCATGTTCCCCCCATTGGAACCAATTTAATGTTTTTCCCTCTAAAGCAATCATGAGAGCCTACATTCTTTCATCTTGCTGACTTCTTTCAATCTGATATACCTTTCCAGCCTATTAATCCACCCATACTCCTTCTCCTGCAAACACAGGAATATCCAATTTCCTCCATTTAGAGGAAAACCCCGACTGCCCCTTGTCCTCCTCCTATTTCCTTCAATTTCTTTGGTTTCCCACAGAAATGTTGTCAAAAGTTTTCTCTCCACCTGACAGCTTTTCCACTACTACGGTGATACCTCTGATCATATCCTCCAACCTCTGGAGTCACTCATGCTGTTCATTTTCAGTCTTGTCATGATCTTGAACCATTTCTTGAACTATCTTTTCCAGGCCATCCATTCTTGTATTCACCATACCCTACCCCTCCACAGAATCAAGATCACGGCTCCCTATACCAGTTGATAAGACTAGTATTACACAGATGTATTAAACTGTATGTGTATTCCTCTATTGTCTATCTCGTACCAATGTACCATGAGATTAGACCAACAATCAATTACAATTGAGGTGTTTAGAGAAACCTCACCCTCCGCTGCTTATTCCACCCAGCTAGGAAAAACAATAACATAACCCCCCACACCTAAAAAACAGACTATTTAAAATGTATGTTGCAATCATGGTTATCAAACTCTCGAGTTAACTCGTAAACTCGTACAAGTTTACGTTCCCAGACATGGCTTCGAAGTAAACTCTTTTTTGCATAAACTTGGTAAAATCGACTGTGAAATTGGTAGGATCGCGAGTTTGGAGCGATTCTGCGACCTTGAAAAGGGGAAAAATTAAGAAAAAACGAGGTCGTTTAGGGTTTAGGGTTTCATGACTTGATTGTCACTATCTCTCGCGTCCCTCTGTCTCTCTCCATGGTCATCGCCATCATCTCACCTCCTTAATGAAATGCATCAAAATTAATGACAATAATCCAAGTATTTATGTTTTACAATATTTATTTTTATGAACAATATATCTATAAATTTTATTTATTTAAAGTTATATAATTTTGTAGACTTATTTGAATTAAGATATTATTTATATAATATTTTTTCATCTGAAGTAAACTCTTACGAGTTTACAAAACTCGACTCTCACGAGATTAAGAAACTGGACTCTCACGAGTTTACGGAAACTCTCGAGTTTGATAATCTTGGTTTGATAATCTTGGTTGCAATTAGATACATAAGTGTCCCAATAGACTTATTTTTTTCTTCTGCCATATGCAAGGCTAAACCTATCCCTTTCTTTCTTGGTTTTTGTCTTGCTCCCTTTCTTGCTTTTGTTCTTGCTTTCTTTCTTTCTTTCTCGCTTGCTTGCCTGCTTTCTTGCTGCTTTCATGCATTGTTGCTTTCTTTTTTAATTGCTACTTTATGAAACAGTCCAATGTTCAAACTGGAAGAACAGTACATCAAATTCCTTGTAGAGCCGCTATGAACAGTGTTGAGTGGAATCCTAAGTACAACTTACTTGCATATGCTGGTGATGACAAAAACAAGTATCAGGCTGATGAAGGTATCATTTTTTTTGTCTGTGAAGTGTTAATTGGAACACAATGACACGGCTAACTTTTGTGCACTTTGTTTGCAGGTGTTTTTCGCATTTTTGGTTTTGAAAATGCCTAGTATTTGTTAAATGCATATTTTTATTGGTATTTGAGCATGCAAAGAAGGGAAATGGACAAATGGAGGTTGATTTCTATTATGAATGGATTGGATTTTTGGACCAAGGCATATGAATGTTAGACAAAGGATTTTTTAACTTTTTTTTAGTAATTTTAATATTTCTTTTAACAATTTATGTTATAGAAGTTGTGACCAAATTATCCATCGGATAAAGAGTTATTAATGTAGTTAAAAGTATTGTTGATACAATTCTCCTATCCACTAAACAAATTAGTGTGCATTAAATGATTCATCACCAGATTGTCAATTGTAAAATCTGCAAAAAAATTCTCAGTACTCAGACAAAACTTGTAAATTTTTTTGGAGAAAACTTAGATATTAGTGTTATTTTTCAATTTATCATTTAATACGTTTTAAATCATTTAAATCAGTTTTAGAGTTTCAATTTATTTAATACTGTTTTAAATCATTTTGTAACTATTGGTAACCTGCTTTTAAGTATTTGTAATTTGGTAATCTCCTTAATAAGTGCATTAAAAGGGACTATCAATTCATAAATCATTTGGATTATAAGTTTTGGTAATAGTAAAAAATGGTATTATTTGTAATTGTATGTATTCAAATGCATTTGTTTGCCAACAACAGCACCAAAATGACATTGATTTCTTATCTGCCAACCTACCAAAAAGCTTTATTAGGGAAAACTCGAAGATTGAACGAACATGAGCCAAAAAAAGAATGACAGAATTTTTTTTATAACTGGGGGAAATAAGAATAATACAATGTTACACGAACATGAGCTAAAAAAAAGAATTTGTTTATATAACTTTGTGTGAAATAATAATAATACAATGTTACATTGAAATGAAATGTAATAGAATTTAATCACTTGTACACACACTTGGCTAGATTTATTTGCAAGAGATTGTTCCAAAAAATGAAATTGCAGCTTGGAAGAATAGGATGAGTCAAAATTGGAGCAGCAAGCAGTGGTAACTGCATTGTAGATAGAGTTCCCAACACTGTAGATGTCAAGAGCACACAAGAGGTGTTACTTCCAGCAATCAGCAACACAACCATCATCAAGTGAAACCTTCTCAAAATAAACAATCAACTAAAAAAATGTGTCTCCTGTCTCCCATAGGTGGTCCTGTATGTGCATCTATGCATGCATCTCACATGCTCCAGCCCCCTCTTCTTGCAAAATTTGAACTTTGCATTGAAACATGAGGCTTCCCCTATGTTCAAAACGGTTCCATCGGACCAAATCTGCTTCATTCCCCAGCAAAAGACTAAACAAATGCAACAGTATTTTCCTCAAAATATAAAAGAAGGAACAAACTTTACCAAGTAAAAGAAGATTGGAAGACTGAAGTTGCCATTTTTAGAAACAGGGACTATGTAAAATCAGACTTGGATTAAAGATTGGATTTTGTATGTAAATTATTGTAGACAAAGAGGAAAACAAAAATTATACCACAAGAAGTCCCTCAAAAATTGAAGCTCCAAGGAGAGGCAGATCCATGATCACAAGCCACAGAGGACCAACTTGGAAGCAGGAAACATCAAACCTGTAAAGCAAACAAGAGAAATGGTGAGCAAGTTCTTAGAACACCAAGTGAGTGGTCCCCACTTGATCTCAACACTGGAACTCTTCATCCTCTTTCCACTGTTAGGCTCCTTGGACAGATCAAAACTAGCCCCTTTCATCCTCAATTCCTGAATGCACCTTGTCACAGCCCTACCATCACTCCTCTCCCTCTGCAACTGTCCCCACACCTTCCAATACCTATGCACCTTCACCTGAACAAGAACCACAAACACAAGGGAGGTGCAGAGGGACAACATGGAGGGAAGCCACCACTTGTGGCAAACACTGTGGTGGGCCTGCTGGGCCTCTTTCTGGGCCCTGGCCCAGGAAGTGAACAAGAGGGTTAGGAAGAAGCCATGAAAGATGAAGAAGAAAGACGACAGTTGAAAGAGTTCAGCTTTGATGGTGTCCATCCTTGTCTCCTTATGAGCAATGCGTTTTGCAAAGAGTTCTTCCTCTCTTTGCCATAGCTTCAGAAGCAAAAGGTGACCGGGACTTTCTGAGATTTCTGTCAAAGGGTGATCCTCTATTGCCTCAATCATGTTGCTTGTCATGGAACACAACACATTCTTGGGATGAAGATGATGTTCTTGCTCAACTGGGATTTCTACTACGTGGGTATCTTTTGTTTCACCCATTGTTGTTATGATAATAGATTAAAACTAAGAGAAGAATGTGATAGCACAAAGATGGTGGATTGTTCCTGAACAAGGAAAAGAGAGAAGAATGAAATGAAAAGTTGAAGTTGTTGTTGAGAGAGAGAGAGAGAGAGAGAAAGAGAGAGAGAGAGAGAGAGAAAGAGAATGATGAAACTGAAGTAGAGTGATGTGAGAAGATATGTAACGTTATATATTATTTTGGTTATCAACCGTTACATTTAAGGTTCCAACGGTAACATTTCTCTTTAAGATCTTTCTCTCTCCTTCTGGGCTCACTATTCTCTGAGTTTAGTACTGTTAATCTCAACGGATACTTCTGTTCACTTACATTTTCTTATAAATTAGTTCCATATAAATTACTTTAATTAATATATCAAATTAATAATGGGAATTGAATTTTCTAACTATTCTATATATAAATATATATGTATGTATGTATTATATTCTTATATTTATTAACCAAGTTTTTGTTATCTACACAAGCCGCACATAAAAACTGAGTGTTATACTTATGATTTAAAAAAGAAAACACTTTATAAATATTTTATGGTAATTCATTTTTTTATCTTGACAAAAATTTACAAATGTTTCTGTCATATCCCTATAATCTTATAAAAATTGATAATTTATTTTTAAATCATTTTATTACAGTAATTATTTTTTTTATTTTTATTTGTTATGATCATAATCAAGAAATTAAAGAAGGATTTAGCTATAAAATGTAAGTCGAAATAGACTCAAACTTAATATAAATTCCAAATTCTCTTATAAAGGAATTAATATCAGACTCGGAAAAATGAAAAAAAAAAATTAGAAGAGAAAAAGAAAGGAAAGTATACCATTAAAATTTAATTTAACCAAAAAGTGAAATCAATAAAGCTATAGAAATATAAAACATTCATTTATATTATCAATATTACATGTATATTCAAATAATTTTTTCATAAGAATTTAAAAAAAAAATAATAAAGCAAATCAAAATTAGAATTTCATAAGTTAATTAGAAGAGTATAAAATAGTTTTAATTTATAAAATATTAATTATAAATTTCATAATCTCTACTTATTTATTATATATTAATTATACTTTTACAATAATTTTCTTCTTTTTTTATTAGAGATATCAAAGATGGCTTTTAACCCGTGAACTAATCCGATTTACCATAACTTCAGAGTGAGGAGTGATACTCCCTCCACCACCCCATCTTCTCCCTCCACCTTCCCAATTTTTTTAGGTTCTAAATTTATCCTTTTTCTTTTTTACTTTTACCAATTTTACTTTTTATTTTTTAAAACACTAATCTCAATCCTTTTCATTTTCACTTTCCATTTCATTCTCAGCAGCAAGTCCTAACCCTCCATTGTCATTTTCTCTTTTTCTCTTAATGTTGACTTCCGTTAACACAAAATTTAACAGAAAAAGCAATTTCTGCATGATATAAATTTAAAACATTTATAATTTCTGATGAATTTTAAAGTATCATGATTTCATAATATAATAGGCTAAAAATTTATTCCACACTTCCTTGTCTTTAAATAACCAAACTTGAAAATCTATGCTTAAAATTATATTTGTGCTTACAATGGTGCAATGAAAGAGAAGTATGTTTGTTGAGTACAAAATAAAAAGTGAATAAAAGAAAAAATAGTTAGTTCAGTTTATCTTCTTCTCTTTCTATCAAATTTTGTGTTAACGGAAGTGAAAATTAAGAAAAAAAAGAGAAAATGAAAGTGACAATGGGGGATGAGGACTTGTTCCTGAGAGTGAAAGGAAAAGTGAAAATAAGATATAATTGAGAGTAGTGTTTTAAAAAATAAAAAGTAAAATTGGTTAAAGTAAAAAGAGTAAATTTAGAATTTAAAAAAAAATTGGGGAGATGTAAGGAGAAGATGGAATGGTAGAGGGAGCATCACTCCAGATTTGAGTTAAGTTAAAAAAAAAATTAGTTTTTTTAATATTGTTAATGAGCTCAACTCATTAAACACATTAAACGGGTTCAACAACATTTTATAGTATTTTCATCATTTTTTATATGTTTTTTATTAAAATTATTCACCACTTCTAATTACATAGATTCATAATTTGATTTTTTAAAATTTTAAATATTATTCAATAATATTTAATAGTTTAAATATTTAATTTATTTGTTTGTCAATACTTTAATTATCATCTAATATTTTATAATGATATTTGAGGAAATAACTCTTTAATTCTATCTTTATAAAAAAAATGAATCGAGTCATTCTACTTTCATTATATTACAATAAATATATAAAATAAATTGTAAAAAATAAAATACTTGTTAGTAAACCAATTTACTAGTCTACCAATTTGAGATGAGTTTAGTCAATGAAGTTGAGTCAAAAAAATTAATTAGATTGAATTAACTATGTAATGAACCAACTCATGTAAGTTAGATTGATTTGCTTTGACACTCTTAATTTTCATATCCAACCATGTTCTTTCTATTGCTACCAATATTTTACTGCAATTGCATTTTAAAAGATATATTACAAAATTAAAGAATTTTAAATATACAAAGTGATTTTGAATTATTTTGATTAATATTTTAACAATATTTTATTGTAAAAATTATCATTATAGAATAGCGCTCTGAAATCCATAATCAAATTTATTATTCTAGAATAAGGTTTAAAATATATTACAGAATGTTGGTTATATAGAATTTAAAAACATCTCTAAATGCTTTATCCATAAATTTTTATAATAATATTTCTTCACTGAGTTATCGGATTAAGCTTCGTCAAGAAAAGATACTTATTAGTGACTTTTATGATACTTTCATTGTAACAGCTTTTGAATTCAATTTAGAATAAATATTTTAGAATATATTTTAAAGTCTTTTGTAAGGTTATTTTATAAAAAAAAAAAAAAAAGAAGTAATTCTAAACAGTTAAAATTTGACTTTGGATTATAAATTTTCAAATGTATTTTATAATCTTTATTTTGAAATAAATTCCTTTATAATAATATACAATCAAAAGATGTTATACATTTTAGATTATATTTTTCAATAACCATAAAGATTTTTAAATATGAATTTTGTTATTCCATTGTAATGGAGGTGTGGAAAAAAATCATATAGGTAGATAAAACAATTGTATATTTGACTAAGGAGAACATAAGTGGGCTTTACTGGTTTTAGATTATGAGTTTCCCTAAGCAAATTTTATTCAGATTTCTTTTCCTGTATCCCATGATTACTAATTGCACTCCCATACCAACAAAGAAAGATTTAGATATCCTTTTTTGCACCTCCTAGAAAGAAAAGAAAAGCCATTTCTTTTTTGTTTGCAAAAGAGTGAAAAATAGGATGATAGAGTATTAGTATATATATATATATATATATTTATAAATATATATATTATAAAAATTATTATTATAAATATCTCTATACTATATTCAACTTGTAGTAGTATAGAACATCCACCATTTAGTGTTAACTTCTTTTTGGTCACATTTATATATTCCTAGTAAGATTTGATACTCATACTTCCGTAAACGAAACATATTTTTCAAATGCTACTACCTAGTTTGTAAAGTTTCTTTTTATTATTTATCTTGTTAACTTAAAGGATTATATTTAAGTTTTAATTCTTAAACTTGATGAAATTTGAAATTTTTTTTTTTCTAAAATTTAATACAATTTGGTTCTAAATATGAAAAATAAATAAATATAATTTTCTTAACGTTATTTAAGATGTAAAAGAAATTCACATCATAAAATTAAAAAAATTATATTTATTTATTTTTAAAATTTACTTTCTAGTATTAAAATTTAAAACAATAAACTTTAATTCGTGTTTAAATTTTAATTTCTTTTTAAATAGGCAATATAGATAATCTTATTCTCCTATCAAACAAACTCAATAAATATTTAACTAACAAAAGTGAGAATAGTGTGAAAAATAGAATTTTAGAAAATATGTTCATAATCTTTCTTGTTATACTTCTTAAAAAATTGTTTTTAAAAATAATTATCAATTATGAAGAGAAAATTAGCATTAATTATAATTACATAAAGTTATTCGTTTTTCTATTTAGAATATTTCGCCTAATCGATATGAATTGTCAGTTAAGTAGCATATTTACAACTTAAATAAGGAAAAGAACAAAATTTTATTTTATTTTATTTTATAAAAGGTAATACTCTGGTGCTCAAGCGTCATGTTTATATTAATCTTTTGATATACGGTTTGGATTGATTATTTTATTATTGCTTAATATAAATTAGATATTTATTTCTCACTTCTCAATTTGCAGCTCAAGTTTTCATTTTTATATTTCAATTATTCAAATTTCCTTCCATTAACATTGCATTTATAAACATTTATATTTTTTAATATAAATTTAATAATTTAAAATTTATATTTAAACTCATATGTTAGTTCATACTGTATTTTTTAAATAACTTTAATATAATTATATCAATAATAATAATAATATAATCTTATAAAATTTTAGTATTTATTTTATATTCAGTCCAAATTATTTACAAACCATTCAAAATGTGGATATGATATTTTTATTTATATATTTGTCCATATTTAAAAACATATTAGCCATAGATAAAGTGAAAACATTTAATCTCCATTCTTAGTGTCACTCATCATGTGGACCACACAATTGGGACAACAACCCTAGCCAGGTGATGAAGTAGCTAATATCAGCAAATGATTGCTAGTCTCATGGGTCCATGGTCCCCTTCTTTGTCTCTAAAATTTTAAGTCTCTTTTATAGTTTGTTATTGGCTTAATTACCTACTTAGTCCCCATGTTCGGAGGTAATTTGCTCTGTTTAGTACCCCGGTTTTAAAAATGTGGGCATTGATACCTATGTTTTGAAATTGTATCAATTGAATCCTACCCACTTAACGCCGTTATAATCTACGCGTTTTTCTGACCATAACTTGAATTGTGGACGAGCGGTATGGACGAGCGTCCGAGCATCGTTGGACGAGCGTCCTCTTCTGTTGGACGAGGCTCCTCTGTTGGACGCGTCCTCCATGTTGGACGAGGTCCTCCCGTTCAGCGTCCTCTCTGTTTGGACGAGCGTCCTCCATGTTGGACGGTCCTCCCTGTTGGACGGCGTACCTCCTCTGTTTGGACGAGCGTCCTCAGCACTGTTGGAACGAGCGTCCTCCA